TCTTGCTTGCTCCTCTCTATTCTTTAGCATCTACCTAGAGCCCAACGGATGCACAGGGAATAGCATGGACTAAGCCTGAAAAGGGTTTGTGTCAGCTCTTTGAAGGCCTCAGGAGCCAGGCCAAGGAGTTTGCATTTCATATTGTGGTCAGTGGAAAACTATGGGATGTTATATGTTATATTCTCATTTCTGGGCCAATATGAGAACATGGATTGGAGAAAAGTAGGAACATGCAATGGTTAGCTCTGTTGTACAGAAACACAGGCTTAGAGCGAGAGTCAATACCCATGGCCACATAGCCAGCAAGTTTCAGAATCAGGAATTAAGATACTTTCTGGACTATGCCAAACCCAGAATTCATAGCGTACTTCAAGGGTTGCACAGTAGACAGGGCTACAAGATTGCCCATGAGTAGGTAGATAGGCAAGATCACATTTCAGCCACAATACTAAAATTTCTGGGGTCTTTTTTTTTTTTTTTTTCAGTCATGGGCTTGAACTCAGGGCCTGGGCACAGTCCCTGATCTCTATTGCTGAAGGCTGGTGCTCAACCACTTTTAGCCACAATGACACTTCTGGTTTTCTGGGGTTCGTTGGAGATAACAGACTCATGGACTGCCCTTCCTAGGCTGGCTTGGAACCTCAATCCTTAGATCTCAGCCTCCTGAATAGCTAGGATTACAGGTGTGAGCCACCAGTGCCCAGCTTCTCTGTGGCCTAATAAATACTTTTTTTGTGTCGGTCATGGGGCTTGAACTCTGGACCTGGGCGCTGTCCCTCAGCTCTTCAGCTCAAAGCTAGCACTTGACCACTTGAGCCACAGCACCACTTCCAGCCTTTTCTGCTTATATGGTGCTGAGGAATCAAATCCAGGACCTTATGTATGCAAAGCAAGCACTCTACCACTGAGCTACCTTCCCAGCTCTATAAACAGACTTTTCTATTCACTTGAGTCCCCTGGCATTGGACAACACCTTAAGGCAGCTTAGCCATCTTGGCTGCTTTGATCTTATGACATTCTACATTGACATATTCTTACCCAATTACAATAGAACAAGCCCTTGGACAATGGAGTACCAGCTGCATTTCAGAAGAGACATATTACATTATAGCCCAATAGCCAGAACTACTCTAAGGACTCCATGTGATGACATAGAGACTAGAGAACACCAGGAAGGGAAAAGGACAGGAAATAATTGTGGGCAAGAATAAGGCTTATCACATGGGGTGATGCTTGTACGGAAGGAAGGGCATCAGACAATCTTTGAGGCACAGAAACATACTGAACAGAAATATTTTAGAGGATCCAGCTGTTCTGGTCACATCAGAGAAAGATCCTCCCTCCCAAGGTAACAGGTGAGCTGGAGATTACATCTTCCCTGTAGGTTTTTTACCTATAGCAACATCTGGAGAAGTGTAAGGGCAGAGAAGATGCCCCCACTCAAATGGCAGCTGGCAGGAGGCCCCCATGCCTTGAAAGTGGGCCTCTCCACAGGGCATGGTGTCTGGCTCCCCCCAGGACAAATGATGAGCAAAAAGTGGACGCTGACTTAGCATTAGAAGCTACAAGCCAACTCTTCCACCTTTTTCACTGGTCACACCATGAATTCACAGTGGGAAGGGACTATACAAGGGAATAAACACCAGGAAGGGATTGTCTGAAGCCATTCTGGAGGACAGTATCTTCTTCTTCTTCTTTTTTGGTCAGTTATGGGGCTTGAACTCAGGGCCTGGCTGGGAAGTGTCCCTGAGTGATTTTGATCAAGGTTACGACTCTGTCAGATTTTAGCCACAGCTCCACTTAAGAGTTTTTTTTTGTTTTAGTCAGTCGTGGGGCCTGAAGTCTGGGCCTGGGCGCTGTCCCTCAGCTCTTCAGCTCAAGGCTAGCGCTCTACCACTTGCACCACTTCCGGCTTTTATCTTTCTGCTTATGTGGTGCTGAGGAATCAAACCCAGGGCCTCATGCATGCAAGGCAAGCACTCTACCACTGAGCCACCTTCCCAACCCTTTTTTTTTTTTTTGGGTCCGGTCGTGGGGCCTGAACTCTGGGCTTGGGCACTGTCCCTCAGCTCTTCAGCTCAAGGCTAGCGCTCTACCACTTGAGCCACAGCGCCACTTCTGGCTTTTTTCTTTTTGCTTATGTGGTGCTGAGGAATTGAACCCAGGGCCTCTGGCATGCAAGGCAAGCGCTCTACCACTGAGCCACTTTCTCAGCCCTTTTTTTTTTATTTTGTAGGTCATGGGGCTTGAACTCTTAAGAGTTTTTGAGTAGTTAATTGGAGATAAGCGTCTCATGGGGACTGTCTGCCCAGGCTGGCTGGCTTCAAATCACAATCCTCAAATCTCTGCCTCCTGAGTAACTAGGATTACAGGTGTGAGCCGCTGGCACCCAGCTCTTATTCTGTTCACTGTCCCTCTATCCCTGCTGCTTGCTGAAGTCTGCAATAACCTTGTGAAGGAGGTAGGATCAGCAGATGGTGTTTTGTAGATAAGAAGATCTGAGGCTCGAAGACATTTTGTGGCTTGTCTGACTCTACTGTTACAACTCCATGTTCAGCAACAATAGCTAAACATGCAGTGTGAATTTTAGACATTTGTAGACCTCTTCTGGCTACTAAATCCCTCACTCATTTTGTTTCTGAAGCTCCTTAGTTAGCATAGGCCAGCTTTAGAGGAGTGGCCAAACCCTGCCAATAGCGAACCACTTCCTCTAGTCCTCACGTCTAGTCCTTGGCCTAACTGTACTGTGGGGATTTAATTTAGGGCATCACATCCACAAGGTACTCATCATCTGAGCTACCTCCAGCTCCTCCTTTACACCTTGTTTTCCTCTGTTGATGTTAATCATGGGGCTTGAACTTGGGGCCTGGTGCTGTCCCTAGGGTCTTTTTTCCTCAAGGCTAGAGCACTACTACTTTAAACCACAGTGCCACTTCTGGTCTTCTGGTGGTTAACTGGAGGTAAGAGTCTCATGGACTTTCCTGCCCAAGCTGGCTTTGAGCCACAGTCCTCAGATCTCAGCCTCTTGAGTAGCTAGGATTATAGCTACGGTTGGTTATTTTTATTTTTTTGGTTGGTCTTGGGGCTTGAATTCTGAGCCTGGGCACTGTCCTTCAGCTCTTCAGCTCAAGGCTGTGCTCTACCACTTGAGCCACAGCACCACTTCCGGCTTCTTCTGTTTATGTGGTGGTGCTGAGGAATCGAACTCAGGGCCTCATGCATGTGAGGCAAGCACTCTACCACTGAGCCACCTTCCCAGCCTGGGTTGGTTATTTTGAAGGCAGGTTCTTGCCTTATGCCCAGGTTAGCCAGGATTGCAATCCTACTCATGCTTCTTTGCCATTGGGTGTCACAAGTATGCACCCTTGCACCCAGTTGCTGAATGAGGTGGAGTCTCACAAACTTTTATGCCCAGTGTGGCCTCAAACCTAGATCCCCTGATCTCTTCTTTCCAATGTGCTAGAGGGGCTGGGAAGGTGGCTCAGTGGTAGAGTGCTTGCCTTGCATGCATGAGGCCCTGGGTTCGATTCCTCAGCACCACATGAGCAAAAAAACTGGAAGTGGTGCTGTGGCTCCAGTGGTAGAGCACTAGCCTTGAGCTGAAGAGCTGAGGGACAGCGCCCAGGCCCAGAGTTCAGGCCCCATGACTGGCGGAAAAAAAAAAAAAATCCAATGTGCTAGAGATTTTTTTTTTTTTTTTTTGGGTCCGGTCGTGGGGCCTGAACTCAGGGCCTGGGCGCTGTCCCTCAGCTCTTCAGCTCAAGGCTAGTGCTCTACCACTTGAGCCACAGTGCCACTTCCGGCTTTTTTGTTTTTGCTTATGTAGTGCTGAGGAATCGAACCCAGAGCCTCAGGCATGCAAGGCAAGCACTCTACCACTGAGCCATCTTCCCAGCCCCGTGCTAGAGATTATATGCTTGAGCCACTGCCCCACCTCTCCTGGGGTATTTAACTGGACATCAAGTTAAACCTAGGGCTGTCTCTTTCTGGAAGAAATTCAGACACTTGAGGAACTGGTAGCACCTTCCCTCATAGATGACCAAACAAGTCTACTAACCTCCCAGCTGAGGGGAAGCACTGGCCTCTCCCCATGCCAGAGCCACCCCAGGCCTGCCTTCCCCTCCTTTGTTACCCCCCAAAAAAGCAAAACCCAAGCCAAAGTATCAGAAACGTGTATTCTTTTTTTTTTAATAGTAAACCTCTTTACAACAAATATAGTGAAAGAGTTTTCAAACAAAACTCATAAGAATCTCAAGGACTTTGTCTTCTTATTGTGTAGAATACTAAGAAAGCATCACCATACAGCACGAAAAGAAATATTGAAAACAAATCAACAGCCACACACTTGGACTCGCCCTGCCCAGGACTCAGGAGCCCTAGGAGTGTGGGTGATTGTCGGGTTTGGGAGTGGGTCACCTCTGTGCTGTCCCACCCCTCCCTCCCTCCCTTTTCCTCCCCCCTCCCCCCCCTGGGACTTGAATGGGGGTAGAACAGAGAATCCAGATTCTCCAAGGAACATCCCACCCCACCCCCCCTTCCCCATACAAATCCCAGTCCTTCCATTCACTGCTTAGGGGTGGGGAGAGGCAAAGAGAGGAGAACAAGGAGTTCCCAGGCTCCATGTCTCCAGGCCTCCATGACAGCTCCAATCCCTCCACCCCCTTCCCCAGGGGATTCCAAGGAGTAAGTTAAAAATATATAGATATAGATATTTCTAGATACACTTTTACATCATTTCTGTCTCTCCAAACAAATAAATAATCAGCAAGAGAAGGTGCATTACTTCCTTCCTGTCCAAGATGGGGAGGGTTGGGTGGGGGCCAAGGGTCAGTCTCGCTGCATTGAATGCACTGTTGGGGGGGGCAGGAAATGGTGTGTGTTCCATTGAGGTGTGTGGGGGTCCTCTTGCCCACTGTCCCTGAAAGCTGTGGGAAACTTGGGGAGGGGTGGGGAATTGAATGACTCCAGTGATTACTTTGGCAAATGCCCAGTTTTTTTTAGAGAGTGGGTGGGGGCAAATTTGGCTTGTGAGAGGAAGAAGAAATTAAGTCTCCACTTGAGATTTGGGTTCTCAGGGACCCATCCATCTGGCCAGCCAGTAAGTAACCTCTACCCCTAAGAAAAACCTTGGGATACTAAATTGCAGAAATGTCACATATTCACTCACAGACCAACCCCTCTTGTCAGGGAGAGAAGGGGATGGACACACACACACACACACACACACACACACACACACACACACACACACAAAGTAGGTCTGTCTTCACAAGGCAGAGAGAGAAACTGGTAACTGGTGAATATTGAAACAAGAACTACAGGGGTCCTTAGCCTACCCCCACTGCACTTAGTGGTGGCCAAGCTCAGCCTAGAAAAGTATACAGAGTGATGGTGGGAATAGCCTAAGAGGCCAGTCATTTGATATTTATTGAGCACCTATCATTTAACCATTCACTCATTCAGCATTTATTGAACACCTACTATGTACCAGGCACTAGGCAAAGCTCTGAACAGCACATGTGCACAGAGCTACACCCTAGCTTCTTTCAAAGCCCTGATCAGTATTTTTCCCCCTTCAGCGCTGAGGATGAAATCCAGGACCTCATGCATGCTAGGAAGTGCTCCACCACTGAGCTATACCCTTAGTCCCATCAGCTCTTGAAACTCCATCTAAGAACCGTAGGGAGAGGTGGGCCAAAGTCCTTGCCTAGTCAGTGAGTGAAGCCATGAATAAGAAAGATCACCGTATAGTGGAGGACAAAGCTTCAGGGAGAAAGAGGACTTAATTTTGCTCTGAAAGTAGGAAAGGAAGGACAACTCCAGGAAAAGGAACGGCATGTCAAGGTGTTGGGGACTAAGTGGACGCTGTGTGTTGAAGCAAAGGCTCTTGGAAGGAAGCCCTGGCAGAGGTAGGCTGTGGGGATAAGTAAAGTGGGCCGACTGCCAAAGGCCCCCTAACTGCAGTACGAACACATCCAAGCTGAGGGCAGGAGTAGAAGCTAGTGGGATCACAGAGCTTGGAAGCCAGGGCTGAGGGGCTGGCACAGCCACCTGTCCTTTTGTAAACACACATCCAGCCACACAGACATAGACATAAGCCTCGGAGCTCCAGTCATACTAAGAGTCACCCAGCCAGGCTCAGAGGCACACAAAGGTACATACCCCCTGCAACCATACACACATACATAAATACAAGGGTATACTACACCCAGACACATAAAATACCAGATGCCCTCATGAGCACACTCAGGTTGTGTGTGGTCACACACCCCTCTGCTTCTGGCTCCTTCTTTGCATCGTGTTGAAATACTGCAAGAGGGTGGGTCATAGGCAGGCAAAGACCATAGTCTATCACAAAAATGGATCTTGTCTAACTCTATGCTCCAAATGGGAGCACTGCCTCCCTGGGCAGAGGGGCTGGGCTTGTGTGGAGTAAGAGGGTAGGCCTGTTGGCCTAGGCCAGGCCGTTGAGGGCGTGTGGCAGAACAGAAGAGGCCAGGGGCCTGCCCCCTCCAGTTTGATCTCTAATCCAGCCTGAGTCTCAGGATTCTGTATTTTCACTGCCCCTGGGCCCCTACCTGCAGCCCCACTGAGGAGGCAGCAGAGCGGGCAGACTTGGGGAGGGAAAGGGAGCAAGAACAGCAGAAGAATCTCATCTGTACAGTACGGGCCATTTGAGTCATTATTATTACAATATACTTTGACAAAAATAGAATCTCATTTCATATCAATACAACAACAACAACAACAAAAAAAAAAACCAGTTTCCTGGACTGTTACACTGCTAAGGTTTTCCAAAGGTCGCTATTTACAATTACAGTAGCCAAGAGGGAAGGTGGGATGCAGCCTGGAGGCGGTGGGACTAGGAGGTAGCAAGACAATGAGGGTGCCAAGAGCAGGGAGCTGGGGCAGAGGAACAAGGAGGAGGGGCCCGGGAGGCCCTGGACCAGTAGACCTCACTGTGGGGGCCTCCTGCCTCTGCACACCATCCCAGTGTCCACTCCTCTGGGTCAAAGTGCCCTCTCCATAGCTGCCCCACGGATGGAAGGCTCTAGCTCTCAAGCACCCCAGAGGAGCTTAAGGCTGACTGGCCCAGCCCTGAGGCTACCTCACTGGAGTTCCTCTCCCCAGTCTCCCTGCACTTGTGGCCAGCTTATGGGGCTGGGTCAACTGAGGGATGGGGAGCTATTGCACTGTATATCTTAGAGAAAAAGCTGGGGGGGAGGACCCCAGTTCATCCCTTGCCCAGCCCTTCTGTCCTTCTCAGCCCTCTCCTCATGGTTGTGTCTGTATCTTCAATGTGCTACCAGAGAGGCTCCACCTCAAAGCCCTGCCCCAGCTTCAGAATCTCAGGCAGCCTTCCCAGCACCCGCAGACCTTAGGGATGCAGCACGCACAAGGATCAGAGTGTTTGTGTATGTGTGCAGAGGAGGTGGGGGGGGGGGGGCCAGGCTTGGGAACTGGCCTGTGTGCCTACCACCGCGTGAACAGCCCAGAAGCAGAGGACTTCTGCCTCTTCACATTCCCCTTGAAACACAAACCCACCATCAAGCCAACTTTGGGGTTCAGTCTGTTGTATGGGTTTTTGTTGCTTGGTAGTTTTTGGTTCTTTCCCTCTGTCTGGGGGATGGGTGGGAGGGCTCCACATGCAGGGCTCGGCACCTGTCCTTTCCCAAAGGCGTACCGGGCTCCCCACCCCCTTCCTGCAGCATATGTGTACAACGTGCAAAGTGACCCCCCCTTCCCGCAAAAAGAGAGCCCCCACCAGTGAAAATGGTGGGGGGCGGTGAGAAAGGGGATGAGAGCATCCCTCTCTCCAAAGCGAGAATCCAAATTAAAAAAAATATAATAATAATAATATAATAATTATACACAAATGTAACCGTCAACAGGACATGGAGCACAAGAAAGGAAGTGGGGGTCGAGCGGGAGGAGCCCAGGACAGGGAGGGGTGGGCGGTGAGATTGTCAACTCTTCATCAGGGAGGCTGAGAGGAGGGGGGGTGGGAACCGTCACTTTAATGTCTGTGAAGAGAGGAGATGGAGAGGGGATGTGAGGGGAGGCCCTGCCTTCAGTGTATACCCCATTCCCTCTCCCATGGGGCCAGGGCTCTAATGCAGGGCCAGCTGTGAGGGTCATCAAGCACGGATCTGATGCTGGGAGGGAGGAAAGGTGGGCCTTTGGAGGGGTAAAGGGGAAAGTGGTGCTGGCCCCAAAGGGCTGGTGGAAGGGCTACCCGGCCACAAGGCCTCTCAGGTGGGAGAAAAAACAGGTTGGGGGCACATGGGGCAGTCCCTGGGTGTAGCAGACACTGGCAGACAGGAAGGGTGATGCTACAGTACCCAGGTATCAAGCCGCATCCTCTTCACAGCCGAGCCCTCAGCCTCTGGCTCTGGGGCTGGGCGCAGCAGGCCCAGTGTGGGCCCGAAGTCCCCCCGTCCATCATCCCGATCCCCGGTCTCATAGGATGCCCCTGCAGGGCTGCTGAGACCGTCACCAGGCTCAGGGCGGGCAGCCGGGAACACAGCTGGAGGAGGCGGCGCAGGGCTGCGCTCCCGGCTTGGGGACACCGGTTCTGACTTGATGCTGATGTGGGGGTGAGTTGTGACCGTGAGGGCAGCACCCACATGGGGCAAGGGGCTGCCTGGGCTGGAGGCAGGCAATGGGGATAGGGTTCAGAGTGAATTACAGACAAAGATACAAGACAGAGCAAGAGAGGACAGAGATATATGAAGGGAAAGAGGGAGAGACACGTGGATAGAGAGAAGAGGGTCAAAAGAAGGGGAGAGAGGGAAATAAGTAATATTAGTCCCATTCGATCCCATGACACTTTCTGTGCCCAGCACACCCTCCACCCTCATATCCTCCCTGGGCTAGCTGGAGGGAGGGGCCCAAGCTAAAGCTGTCTCCTGGATCTGTGTGGGCCAAAGGCTGCCACTTACATCTACACAACCTCACGTGTCATCTACTGAATACAAACAACCTTGAAGGGGACCCATTCTCCAGAGGACCCTCTTCTCCTCACCCCCTTGGAATCCCTGTGGAAAGCCTCCTGAGGACTCACATGAGGTTGCTGAGAGATACGGGGACCAGGTGGGGCTGTTGCTGAGGTGGCTGCTGCGGCTGCTGAGGCTGCTGTGGCTGTGGCTGCTGTGGCTGTGGCTGTTGTGGCTGCTGTGGCTGTGGCTGTGGTTGCTGTGGCTGCTGTGGCTGCTGGGGTTGTTGCCAGGCGGTAACATTGCCTAGCGACAGTCCCCCAGGTGAGCTGAAGGCTGGTAAGGAGGAGAGCTCTGCACTGGTCAACTGGTAATCTGTAGGAGAGAAAAGGAAGGAGAGACTGTGAGGGGCCTTGCAGGTGAGAGGCAGGTGGTGTTTAACCACTTATGTGAAGAATCAAGAAACCCATAAAAATGGCACTCAGAGTTAGAAGCACAAGTCAGTAATCATGAGGTGCTTTAAAAAAAAAAAACAGGATAAATAAAGGTGATTTTTAACATAATGTGGAACTTTAAAAAAAAATCATTTGTAGGTATCACTTTTATAATGACAATTAGGAAAAGGCAAGGCAAGGGGAGGTAGGTAGACAGGGAAGGTCTACCATACTTTAGATAAAGCCTCTTTACTTAGCTCTCATTGCCTTTCTGCGGCAGCAGAGCAGTGAGCCCTGGAAGCAGGGCTGCCACTACCACCTCACCTTCTGTGCAGGCCCCATGAGTCTACAGGCCATGCATGCTCAGACAGTAGCAGGGACTAGAACCACCATGCTCAGAGACAGGGGACATGTATCGTGTCTTTTATCCAACCCACACACTATGAAAGCAGAGGAGCCTCAGGGCCTAGGGGAGGGGAGGTGCACCAGGGGTTGATGTTCTGCAAAAGTGCAAGAGGGAGACAGGTGCTGGTCACATCGGTAACTAGCTATGCAGGGGGCTGACATCTGAGGATCACTGTTCAGAGCCAGCCCAGGAAAATCCATGAGACTCTTATCTCCAATTAACCACCAGAAAACCAGAGGTGTCACTGTGGCTCAAAGTGGTAGAGTACATGGGGCTGAGAAGGTGGCTCAGTGGTAGAGTGCTAGCCTGGGATGCATGAGGCCCTGAGTTCAATTCCTCAGCACCACATAAGCAGAAAAAAGCTGGAAATGGCACTGTGGCTTAAGTGGTAGGGTGCTAGCCTTGAGCTGAAGAGCTGAGGGACAGCACCCAGGCCCAGAGTTCAGGCCCCACAACCGACCAAAAAAAAAAAAAAAGTGGTAGAGTGCTAGCCTTGAGAATAAAAGCTCAGTGATGACACCCAGGCCCTGAGTTCAAGCCCCACAGCTGACAAAAAAAGTGCAAGAGGGGTACTCATTGTTTCACCATTTACACAGCAATGTGATGCTGTCATAGCCTGTTTGGGACAGTTTAGAAATGTCCTCCTTGAGGCTACACAGTGAGAGCAGGAGGGACATGCTACCAAGAGGGTGCCCCTCCAGTCATCCTAAGCTATGCTGTGTTGGAGTCATTTCCTTCAGCTGTTTGTGTAGGGAAGATGGTATTATCTCTGCAACACAGCTATAAGGTAAAAGGCATGAGCTAAACTTCCTGGCTACCTCCACTGACAAGCCAGCTGAGTGAACCTGGGCAGGTTACTTACACTCTGCTTAGAAACCAGGACAGTAATCCTACTCCTATCTCTAGGAGCAGCACAGCTGCTGGGAAGACTAAGGACATAGAAGACACACAGAATGGTGTCCTGCTCATAGTAAGCTTTTAAAGATTTACCTATTCCCATGTTACAAATGAAGCACCTGCAGCCCCAGGTCACAGGGAAGGCTGGTGGCAAGAACTTGGACAAGAGGGGCTGGGAATGTGGCTCAGTGGTAGAGTGCTTGCCTAGCATGCATAAAGCAGTACCACATAAACAGAAAAAGCTGGAAGTGGAGCTATGGCTCAAGCAGTAGAGTGCTAACCTTGAGCAAAAGGAGCTCAGGGACAGTGCCCAGACCCTGAGTTCAAGCCCCATGACTTGGACAAGACCCCAGAATTCTCTATTACATAGTTTTCTTTGCTAATTTTGCAGTACTGGACCTCATGCCTATGGACGGGTGCTTTACCACTTGAGCCCTGTATCTCCAGCCCTTCTTTTTTTGCATTTATAGTTATTTTTGAGATAAGATCTTGTGATTTTGCCCAGGCTGTGATCATTTTATTCACGCCTCCAGGTAACTAGAACCATAGGCACACATTCTGTACTTGTTGGTTAAGACTGGGGGCCTCACTAACCTTCCCAAAGCTAGCCTCAAACCATAATCCTCCTTAATCTCTCGCTCTTTTTTTTTTGGTTTGGGTCCTGGGGCCTGAACTGAGGGCATTATCACTGAGCTTTTGTGCTTGAGCCTAGCACTCTACCACTTAAGTCACAGCTACATTTCTAGTTTTTTGGTGATGACAAGGAATAGTCTTCAAACTTCAATCTTCAAATCTCAGCCTCTGGAGTAGCTAGGATTACAGACATAAGACACCAGCACCTGGCAATCCTCCCTAATCTTGATCTCTGTCTCCCAAGTAATAGAACTACTTTATATTTAAAAAGCAGAGTAGGGGCAAATGGGGGCTCTGAACAATTTTTTTGTTTGTCTTATGCCAGTTATAGGGCTTGAACTCAGGTCCTGGGCACTATTCCTGAGTTTTTTGCTCAAGGCTAGTGCTCTACCACTTGAACCACAGCTGCACTTCTGGCTTTTTGTGTTTAATTGGAGAGGAGAGTCTCACAGGCTTTCCTGCCCAGGCTGGTTTCAATCCATGATCCTCAGATTTCAGCCTCCTAAGTAGCCAGGGTTACAGCCATGAGCCACTAGTGCTTGACCAGAACTGATATTGTTGTTGTTATTGTTGTTGCGTTCTATCTTTTAGGAACCAATTATTTTATTTTATTTTGTTGGTTGTGGGGCTGAACTCTGGGCCTGGGTGCTGTCCCTCAGCTCTTCAGCTCAAGGCTAGTGCTCTACCACTTAAGCCACAGCGCCACTCCCGGGTTTTTCTGCTTATGTGGTGTTGAGGAATTAAATCCAGGGTTTCATGCATGTGAAGCAAGCACTCTACACCTGAGCCACTTTCCCAGCCCAAGAACCAATTATTTTTACCTCATGTTTTACATACATGCAAGCCAGACCCAGAAGGCAGTGCCTTGCCTGAGGTACCTCAGAGAACACAACTCTTTGCCCTGCACTGCCCATTCAACCACTGTATCCACTGGGAAGCTTGGATCCCAAGAGCCAGGAGGAACTTGGCCCTGGGCCACTTGGCTGCCCCCTCAGTCTGCTCCCAGAACCTCCACAGCCAGATATCTCCAGCCAGTGTCAACAAGGGGCCAGGTTCATCTTTTACCCAAAACATTACCACAGCCACATCATCCCCAGCCAGAACTTGAACAAAGGCCAGGACTTTAAATAGTGAACAACTGAAAACCCATGTGTTCACTGGAGTTTTCTTTATATACTGAGGGTACCTGAAAATACCTGCTATCTAAACTAGATACTCCTGTAGCAACAACTGAAGCCTGGGCTAGTGAGAGCATATGAGAAAGCCCACTCTACAGGGCTCGGAAGGTAGGCCGAGGGCAGAAACTGTTTTCACACCACAGTAACAAGTAGGAGTCCATAAGACCGCCCAGCTAGCACCTGTCCCAGGTTCACTGACACCAACTAATTGCCTTCATGTTTCACAAAAACTGCTGGAATCAGAAAACAGCAGAAACCACCTGAAAATGAGACTAAGCTGCTCTCCACCAAGTGTGCAGGTCCACCCTGCCTCACTCCAGCCTGGAGGAAGAGAGTTTTTCTCCTTGACCTGACCCTAACAGCAGCACTGACAAGGCCTCAGTCCCTTTGTCCACAGAAGCTCAGCCCACAGGAGACCATTTTGGTAGCAGTTCCATTTGAGCTATGAGCCACAGTAACCGGAAGTGGGTATGTATGTGGGTACATACATGAGGGACAAGAGGCTCACAATGTGGACAGTACAATTTTTACCAGCATCACAGTCTGGCCTCAGTATGACGCAGGCCCTCCAATTCTCTTACCTGCCACTGAGAACTTAGGCTGGAATGTGTATGTGTACCTGTTTGTGTACTGATATCTGTCCCTAACCTGCTTCAGCTCTGGGATGGGGCTTGGGAATGAAGAGGAAATGGAGTAGAGTCTCCTGGTCTAGTCTACTTTCATCACAGAAACAGCCCTAACAAAACACTCACATCAGAGAGGCCTGGGGGAAGACAAAGGTCTCCTTAGTGGGAAGGAGCCCACTGTGCACAAATGCTGTGAAACCAGGTGACACTCCTTTTCCCTACCAGGAAGTCCCTTTTGATGCAGCAATCTGGAGCAAGGATGGTAAAGTGTAAGGCTGTTCCCAAGCAGGTGTGAGTGGGTAATACAGCCAGAACAAGCTCTGGAGACCCAGAACAAGCGAGGCACTAGGTATTCTGTTTGAATTCTTCTATCCAGAGGGCCTCTCCCATGTACTTGAGACTCTTCACCTTCAGACATGCCTTCCCAACTTCCCCAGTCTTCTGCCTACCTCCCCTTTATTATTCTACCACCAAGTCAACGTGGTAGGGGGTGCAGTGGGAGTGGTGGTGGTGTCGCTTTCTCCTCTTCTACCCTTGCCCAGGAAGCTGGCAAGTGTACTCTGGCCAGTTTACCCTTCTTGTCTCCTCTTCCTCATCCCTTCATTCTCCTTCCCCAGGAAGCCTTTGTGTATGCCATACCATGTCTCACTCCCCACTCCTCAAACATGTAGTCTAGAAAGCCTGGTTGGCCCGGGGCTGGGAAGTTGGCTCAGTGGTAGAGTGCTTGCCTTGCATGCCTAAGGCCCTGGGTTCGATTTCTCAGCACCACATAAGCAAAAAGAATAAAAGCCGGAAGTGGCGCTGTGGCTCAAGTGGTAGAGCGCTAGCCTTGAGCTGAAGAGCTGAGGGACAGCGCCCAGGCCCAGAGTTCAGGCCCCACGACTGGACCCAAAAAAAAAAAAAAAAGAAAGCCTGGTTGTCCTAAATAATTCAGCTGAAGCCACCTCTGTCCTATGCCCCTCCTCCTCACATTGGAGGCTTCCTTCCTTCCTCCTATATTAAAAAGAAAGGGGGCTGGGAAGGTGGCTCAGTGGTAGAGTGCTTGCCTTGCATGCATGAGGCCCTGGGTTCGATTCCTTAGCACCACATAAGCAGAAAAACCCCAAAGAGACACTCAAGTGGTAGAGTGCTAGCCCTGAGCTAAAGAGCTGAGGGACAGCGCCCAGGCCCAGAGTTCAGGCCCCACGACCGACAAATAATAAACAAACAAACAAATAAATAAAAATAAAGGATGCCAGGCTGGGAATGTGGCTTAGTGATAGAGTGTTTGTCTAGCATGCATGAAGCCCTGGGTTTGATTCCTCAGTACCACATCAACAGAAAAAGCCAAAAGTAGCACTGTGGCTCAAGTGGTAGAGCACTACCCTTGAGTACAGAGAGACTCAGGGACAGTGCCCAAGCCATGAGCTTAAGCTCCAGGACAGGCAAAAATAAATAAACAAATAAATAAAGGATGCCCAGTTAAGTTTGAATTTTAGACAAAATAATGCAGTTTTTATAGCCTAAGTATGTCTTTGGGACATCTTTTAGCACAGGAATGTCTACAGAATACACTTAAATTAAGACACCACTCATTTGATCTGAAATTCAAGTTTAACTGAGTGTTCTCTTTTGGGGGAGGGGGAAATATGAACTCAGGGCTTGGGTGCTATCTCTGAGCTTTCGTGCTAGTGTTCTACCACTTGAGCCACAGCTCTACTTCCAGCCTTTTTGGTAGTTAATTGGAGATAAAAGTCTCACAGGCTTGGAACTGGCTTGGAACTTGGATCTTCAGATCTCAGCCTCCTGAGTAGCCAAGATAATAGGCATGAGCCACCTGTGCCCAGTGGAGCAATCAATGGCCTTCCTCATTTTGGGGTTTCCATGGTATAGCTAGTAATGTTTTCCTTTGGTCACTCACCTGTCCCAAGTGTACGCAGAGGTGTCACACACTCACCTGTGTTGTAAGCAGTAGGCATGGAAGAGAAGGGGAGGCCCTGGCTGAGTAAACTCGGCGTTGCCACGGAAACCACTGGGGTGGTGAGCGAGTGGGTAGACTGGGAGACCCCAAGGCGCTGGGCATTGTTCTGTAAGAGAAAACTAACTGTCAGGAGGTAGCAGTTGGATGGATGGGCTGCCTTAGGCTAGCCATCCATACTAAAGTGCGTTCTCAGAATTCCAAGGCCAAGGTGCAGTGCCTTAGCATGGAGACTCCATGAATACCCATACACAATATGGTGCAGTCAGACACAAAGAGCCACAGAGAGAAATGTGTGCACACAGATTCATTCACACCTGCATACATGCAAAGGAAGGTATGTGTGCTGGCCCTTTGGCCCAACACCAACACTGGTTTGGGCTCTCAGGCAAAGGGATAAAAGCAAGAGACACATTCTTCCTGTGGCCAGGTCCTCAGAGTCTACTCTCCATCCATCACACTGCAGCAGATGCCCCGGAAAACGTGTGCTGGCATCTGGGAGGGGAATGTGGGGCCTGGAGTGGCGTGTGCCTGCGTGTATGCACACACGTGTGTGGGGCTGTCAGCTCCATCTGCCGCTGAGTCACTTGTTTATTCCAATTCAACACTGGGGCCGAAACTGCCGCTGTGTTGGCCGCCAAAGTCTGCCTGCCTTTTCCAGCTTCTCTGGCCTCCTGTCAGGGAGCTGGGGAGAGAGAAGCCCCCGCCCCATTCCTGGCTGCCGGTAAATATGTAAGTGTGAGAAAGAGGAGGGAGGGAGGGAGAAAAAAAGGAGTAGCTGTGTATGGTGCTGGGTGCTGGTGAGACAGGCCGAGTGTAAGAGGGAGCACAAGGACAAAACAAAGGCAGGGAGGCCCCCACTAAGGACAACTCCAGCTTTGGCTTGGGCATCCACTCATTTCCCTGGGGAAACTGACTTTCTTGGACTTTCCCTCTTATGGATTAGGCTCCTGTTCTGGGTTTCAGGAATGTTGTATGGGCCTAAGTGAAGTCATAAGGCTAGTGGGATCCAAGGCTTGAATTGAAGCAGCATGGTCAGGAACTCTGAAGCCTTTCTAGATACACATAGACACATCTCAATGAATGTACATCCCAAAGACCTCCATGCACACACACAGGTTATACATGCATGAATATCAACCCCTGCCCCTGCCCCATTCACTTTAGTATCCCACTTGGCAGTAAGCATAGCTTCCAGCAAATAATCAAACACCACACAACTACGCATACAGGTGAAAGGACAAGACACATATACTTCATGCTGCAGGGCTGCAAAGCCGTGGACTAACCCAGAATTCAAAGACACTACGAACGTTTCAGAGCCTCACTTACCAGATCTAAATGGTCCTCAGTCTGGGAGCAGAAATAAAACCAAGTGGATGGTTCAGTGTCTGGCCTCTGCCTTCCCCCCATAGCCATCCATTCACCTTTATGCCTAAGTAAGCAGGATGCTCTCTCCTCTGTCTAAGCGCAAGATACTCTCCCTGGCCCATAACGACAGAGCTCTCCTGAACTCATTTCAAGAAGATGCTACATTCTGACCTTAACCAATGATCTGGTCCCCACTATCCTATTATAATATGAATACCTTCTAGTATTCTCCCCACCACAGAACCTTTTCCCACCTCCTGTCCCTTTCTGTTGTCCTTAGGCTGATTTTCTGTGCTCTAACCTCATAAGGGGTCCTGGGGAAGAAAGAGCTTATAAAAAGCCATGCTTTCATGATCTCTGGTGAGAAATCCTAACTGTGCCTAACCTTTATCATTCCTGCTACAAGTTTTCTCTTCTCTTCTTCCTCACACCCATCCTCTGCTACAGCCCTGATACACACTCACCAAGTGATGCATTAACCCTTTGCCTCCCTGGGAAGTGATGACCCGCAGGTCGGGCTTTCGGCTGGGGGCTCCAAGCTGGGCGCTGTGGGTAGGTGGGGGTGGAGACTTGGCAGGGATGACCTTGTTTAGGCTGTTTCCATTGGCCACAGGGAGGAGGCCAGGGGAGGCTCGAGCACTGACATAGCCATTTCCTGCAGAAGTGAAATGATGAGAAAGAAAAACATCAGTTTGGCCCTCAGCCCTGTTAAGTACTTAAGGCCTACTACTCCTAACACTGAGAACTTCTCAAAGCCATGTTCAAGCTCTGAGAGGGTGCTTAGCTGCCTGGTATTCCCTAAAGCTTTCCTGTCCTGTGAACACCCTTGAATCTAAACCAAAGCCACAGTTGATGAAACTGACTAGTGGGAGCATTAAGGCTGGAAGGCAGAACTAGAAACGATCACTGCCTTTTGACTCACTATGGACAAGGAAGAAGCCTTGTGGCCAAACCTCTTCCTACTATCTCTTTGTCCAGCATTCTCAGATTCCACATTCTACCTCCAAACAGGACCCAAAATGAACCTGTGAAGAGCCTGGTCACCAGGACTAACCACTCAGGACTGATCCCGTTGCCATGAGCTGGGGGATGCTGTACTTGGGATCAGCACATGAAGAACTGCCTATAGCCTGAGGAAGACAGGCCATTTGTTGGTGGTGATGCTGTTACTGGCAGTAGGGAACTGATGACACAGCCACCACCATAATTAGACTAGTAATAACAGGCATAATAACTATCTTTTACATCTATTTCACGCTCCACAATGTACACAGGCCTTGCACACACATATTATCTCATTTAGCCCTCACATTAACCCTACAAGACAGACAGGACATGCATTAATAGCCTTGTGTACAGAAGAGGAAACTTGAGCCTGGATGACAGAGGCGTAATGACTTGTCCAGGGCCACACCACTGGCTAGAGGCCAAGCAGGACTGTAATTTGCTTCCCACATGCTGCATTCAAAAGCCTACAAGCAAGGTCTGAAAGCATTTCTCTTACCTTTTCCTTGGAAAAGAAGCGAGTATTCATTCATACCCCCAATACCCTGCTGAGCTGCCACTGAGCTGGGACATTTTGACGTCCAGAGATGTGAGGGTGACTGAAGTCAGAAAATGCCACCATGCTCTGTCCCATAAGAGCATACTGATACCCTAAAAGTGTGTGGCTGCTTCAATCCCAAATCCCAGATCATTCTGGGAATGGCAGGAATGTCAGAGTGACGTCAATAGTGACATTAGAAGTCACAGCCACCCAGACGGATGGCACACAGAGCAGGAGGGCTGTCAGCTGCTGGAGGGAGGAGGAAGGCTCCTATATGTGTGCCTGCCTGAAAATGTGCATCTATGCCTACATATTCCACAAATGGAAAGGCCCGTGTGCATGGGAATGCATGCTCAAGTCTGTGCCTACTGTTCTATGCAAGGCCAGACACTCCCATCCTTCAGATCCCAACCAGACACCCCTATTCAACTGGAAAACCTTGGGTCTTCTGTTCCAACTAGCACTGTTGCTCCGTTCTCAGCTTTCTCAGCCTTCCCTAAGCCTTCAACTCTGTTGATCATCCAACACCAGCTACTAGTACAGGCACCAAAATTCAGGGACTTAGTTCGAGTTCGAGCCCTGTCACCTTGTTCTCCTCTGGCTCTTTTGTTTCGTTTTGTTTTTTGGGGGTCCGGTCGTGGGGCCTGAACTCTGGGCCTGGGCGCAGTCCCTCAGCTCTTCAGCTCAAGGCTAGCGCTCTACCACTTGAGCCACAGTGCCACTTCCGGCTTTTTTCTTTTTGCTTACGTGGTACTGAGGAATCGAACCCAGGGCCTCAGGCATGCAAGGCAAGTGCTCTACCACTGAGCCACCTTCCCAGCCCCTCCTCTGGCTCTTTTGACCTGAAACCACTAAGCAGTAGACCTTCCCAGCCAGGTGAAAAGTAGCTGCACTCACCAACAGGACTGGGGCAGGCTCCATTAGCACTGGTGAGGTCTCCCCCCAGCATGGCGCCTGGGAAAAAAGCAGAACCATGATAAGCCAATAGCACTCCCCCTTCCATAATTAGTCTTGGGACTGAATAGGAAGTGGAACCCAGGAAAAGGAGTCCTATGCCCTTCCCTCAGGAGCCACACAAATTTAGGAATGCCATGGGAAGGAAAGATTCCCTCCCTGTTGAAAATGAAATGCCAGAGTCCCCTGTACACCTCATTTCCACCTCACCTACACATTTTCCAGTCTACTCACCTGCACTAGCTGGCCGCTGAGGCAGGCCTGGAGACACACTGTTCCTCTGTAGTGCTGGCTGCTGTGGGGACAGGAGTCGTGGATCTGTGAGGGACGATGTCACCAGGGAAGGGGTGACCAGAGAGCTGCTGGGATTGCTGAATTGCAGTGAGCTCTGATTAGACACAGGCACCGTGACTGGCATGGCAAAGTTGGGAGCTGGTACAGCTGACTAGACAGAAAGATGGAGGGTAAAGTCAGGCCAAGTCAACCCTTTTCCTAGACACACTCACCCTGGGAGGGCAGGCAAGGGATCTTCTGGTTTATGGGCTATGCTGCTATAGCAGCAGTTTGAGCTCCCTAGCCTGGGTCTTCTGGTAGCCCTGCCTGCCTCTCCCCATGGAGGCAGGAACACTGTGGGATCCAGCTCTAGCCCAGAAGGCAAGGTTCTGCTCACTGCAGATGGGACCAGGGATACCCCTAGTGGAGATGGGTTAGTCCTCAGCCAGGCAGGACACACTGGGAGCAGGTTAGAGGACCTGAGGACAGCCCCAAATTCACACACACAGCTGCTAAAGGACTGTGTCACAGTCAGGACATTGCTTCGCTGACATCACCCTTCCACCTGGCCGGCTGCAGAGGGAATCTGCACCCACCTCATTGCCTTTCCCTTATCAATTTCCCTGAACAAAGCTGAGTACCTTAGGTAGGGGCACCAGAGCAGCCCAAGAGGGCCTCTCCTCCAAAATGACCTGATACAGAACACACTCTACTTTCCTGTCCTCTAAGGACAGCATGTCATCTACATACTTCTTGCTAGTGAGGAGGACTTGTGCTCCATTCAAGATGCGTCTCAGCAAGAGCCAAATGGCTATCACTATCAACGTTGGGAGTTCCTTGGTGGTCACCACTAGTCCCAGCATGGCTCAGAGCAGAACATCCATCAGAGGCAGCCTGGGCTGGGCCGGGCGAGAAGCCACACCATGCACCACAGGGAGGCTCTCCTCCATGCGACTACTCACGGCCAGTCTATAACTCTGCATCATTTTATCAAACTCCTCGTCTATCTTTTTATATTTCTCCTCCGTCTGGGGGGTCAGGGCAAACACCTCGTCCACCTCAGGGCTCTCACACTCCCTGTGCTTCTTGTGCAGCGCCTGGGGGGAAGGGGCCAGAAGGGGGCCAACAGAAAGAGAGAGTGAGTGGGGCTCACCCCATAGCGCCTGAAGAGCCCGTCCAGCTCCTCACTGGCGCGCCGATACTTGTCCTCCAGCAGGGGGCTCTGTTCCAGTGAGTCCTCCCCGTCAGGCTCGGGGCTGTCGCAGCCATTGAAGCCCTTCTTCCTCAGGGTCTGTAACCGCACCACTTGTCAGCCAGTCAGCAAGGGTCCTTCTTGTCTTATCTCTCAGTTCCTTCTAGCCCTCCCTAAGACTCCTATTCTTGTCTAACCACCTTCCTCAGGGTTCCCAGATGTCCTCAGCTCCTTCCTCAGAATTCCCTCCCCTTACCCCACAGTACTTCTAGGCCACTGCTAGGTGAGAGAATATTCCATGTTATAGGGATGCAGAGATTAGGCTTCCAGTGACTGCTGAGGGGCTGGTGTTCTGGGCCAGCCCCAGCCTGACCAGAAGGCCAAGAGGCTAGAAGGCAATGTGCACTCTCCCAAAGAGTTGGATTGGGTATAGTCAGTGGAGATTTGCCCCTATCCCAACGAGAGAACAGCTCATAAGAAAAGAGAAATTGGGATAGGGACAGAGAGGCAGAGGAACAAGATAGAGGAAAGCAAAGAGGAAACTAGCACTTACTGAGCTCCTGATGTTTAGCACCCCCATACTGTTCTTGTCCAGAGGCCAAAGCTTCTCACATGAATTTTACCTGCCACAGTAACCTCCACAAAGTAGAAGTATGTACACTATGAGTCTGCAGGAGACCCAAGGCTGCAATCATATGCGGAATACTTTCTTTTCTTTTTTTTTTTCTTTGGGGGGGGGGAGGGATCTAGAAATTAAACTCAGGCCCTGGGCACTAACGCTGAGCTTTTTTGCTCAAATTTAGCCATCTACCACTTGAGCCACAGCTCCACTTCAAGTGTTTTGGTGGATAATTGGTGAGAAAGAATTTCATGAACTTTCCTGCCCAGGCTGGCTTTGAACCACAGATCTCAGCCTCCAGAGTAGGTAGGATTACAGACATGAGCCACTGGAGCCAGGTTTGAAATACTTTCACAGATACTTTGTTTTTCAAAAGAATGCAATGTCCACTTTCTAGTCTAGAGTAGATCTGTCTCTTCTAATATAAAAACCAGGGCATTTTCTCCAAATCTTTGTGAGTAGGCGTATGGCTTCCTAGGTACCATTTTCTTTACCACAAAACTGTATCGAAAGTACAGTTAGCCCAGCACCAGTGGTTCATGCCTGTAATCCTAGCTACTCAGGAGGCTGAGATCTAAGGATCGCAGATCAAAGCCAGCCCAGGCAGAAGAGTCCGTGAGATTCTTCTCTAATAAACCACTCAAAACTAGAAGAGGCGCTGTGGCTCAAGTGGTAGAGCGCTAGCCTTCAGCTGAAGAACTGAGAGACAGAGCCATGGCCAACAACAACAAAAAAATACAGTTAGGCCAGGTGCTGGTGACTTATGCCTATAATCCTAGCTACTTAGGAGGCTGAGATCTGAGAATTGTGATTTGAAGCCAGCCCAGGCAAAAAAGTCCCCTTAAGACTCTTAACAATAAACTACTCAAAAAAGCTGGAAGTGAGCCGGGTGCTGGTGGCTCACGCCTGTAATCCTACCTACACAGGAGGCTGAAATCTGAAGATCATGGTTCAAAGCCAGCCCAGGCAGGAAAGTCCATGAGACTCTTTATCTCCAATAAACCACTAGAAAACTGGAAGTGGCGCTGTGGCTCAAGTGGTAGAGCGCTTGCCTTGAGCTGAAAAGCATAGGGACAGTGCCCAAGCCCAGAGTTCAAGCCCCGACCAAAAACAAAAAAGCTGGAAGTGGTGCATTGGTTCAAGTGGTAAAGGCTCAGGGATAGCACCCAGGTCCTGAATTCAAGCTCCAGGACTGGCAAAAAAAAAAAAGTACAGTTAGGCCTCTTAAATGCATTTACAGAATACCCATAACAGGAGGACAGGGGCTGGGAAGGTGGCTCAGTGGTAGAGCGCTTGTCTTGCATTCATGAGGCCCTGGGTTCGATTCCCCAGCACTACATAAGCAAAAAGAAAAAAAGCCGGAAGTGGCATTGTGGCTCAAGTGGTAGAGTGCTAGCCTTGAGCTGAAGAGCCGAGGGACAGCGCCCAGGCTGAGTTCAGGCCCCATGACCAGACCCCCCGCCCCCCCCCAAAAAAAAAAACATAATAGGAGGACTGCCCCATTTCTGTGGAGGGCGACATCGTGACTCAAAAAAGCCAAAGCACTTGGCCAAGGCCACATGGCCAGTAAAGGCCAGAGCTGAACTCCAAAGCTTATGTCCTTCAACAGTTCACAATGTCAACTCTCTTAAAACAGAAAACAGAGCCATAGGGACCCACCAAGAGTCAGAGATGAAACAGCAGAGATAGATACAAATAAGCAAACACAAAAAGGAAAAGTCTGACGCAAGAGCAGTCCAAAGGATAGAGAAAGGGGAAGAGGCAGAAACTAACCTGAGAGAAGACAAAAAGGCTCTCTGGCAGACAGACCCCCAAAGGGAAGAGGTAGAGTCAGAGACCCCCCCACCTGGGAGCCAGAAATCTCTGGCCCTTCTGTACCTTCTTTAACTCTCTTTCCTCCTCCAGGCCTGGGTTTGCCTAAGAGGAGGTGGGTTTATCTGTGCTGCACAGAGGTGAGAGATTACTAAGTGCATGTAGATATAGACAGAAGGTGATCTGCACATGTGGGCCCACCTCGATGATGTCAGCATTGGTGCGACTCTCATGTGGCTCGTTGTACTCAGTGTACTTGAGGAGCACCTTGTCCATGTCGGTGCTGGCATACTGGAACAGCTTGTTGGAGTGGTTGAAGATGATGAGGGCAATCTCACAGTCGCATAGCACACTCAGCTCATACGCCTTCTTCATCAGTCCAAACTTGCGCTTGGTGAATGTCACCTGCAGGAGTGGTGGTAGGCAGCCGGGTCTAGCTCGGTCAAGGGCTGCCAGGAGTCCTTGTCTATAGGCAGCTAGATACAACTCGTATGAAGGAGTCCCCATGCTTAGTGTGACACAGACATGACCCTCAGGAGTCCCTGATGTATGGAACAAAAAAAGCTAGCAACCCTCAATTAGCAATGGCCAAAAACAGCTCTGAGCCAACTCGTAGTAGAGAGAGGCTCTAGATGTGTAGGACTCCACACCTCTGTGTTGCGGCTAAGGAGAGGTCAGTGGAGCAGAGAAAGCAAAAAGGCTCTCAGGTGAAAAGAAGTAAAAGATTTGCACTGGGAAGGTGGGATAGGAAGTCCCCAGGTATGGCTCTGGGGTGGGGATCCAGGTTCATTTGGTTGTAATGGAGCCTGGGACAAAAATGTGGAGGCACAAGAGGTAGGGCCTGCTCTTCTCCCAACTCAAACCCACCTCCTCTGTCATAGTCTCTTGCCTTCCTCCTCTCCCAGGTAGCCCTCGTGGAGAGCTAGAAAAAGGCAGTGTAGAAGCCAGCTGGCTCCTAGTCTCACCCACCCTGTGGGGATCTAGAACTTCCTCACCTGTCGATTTCGCTCATCAGTGATTCTCTGGATCTGAATCTTTTTCCTCCCCATCTTCTCTGAAGGTCCTCAATGCTAGGGAGGGGAGGGGCTGATGGGTGGCAGGTCTGAGTGCACCTCACGCTGTACTCATGAAAGTCCGGGATCGGTGCTCAGTTCATGGTCTATATGACTTTATGTACAATGTCCTGAAAGGTGAAAGTCAACAAGAGGTCTGTCAGCACCTGTAATCCCCAGCTTGCTCCTTGGAGAAGTGGATAAAGTTCACAGCACCTGTGAGAATCTGGAGATACATGTATCCCAATCTCAACATGAGACAGTGCAGGCTACCTGAGGCAATGGTATGCCAAGCTGAGCTCATGCAGAGGCTCAGGACCCTGGTCCAGGCTCTGCCCTACCATCACTGCTACCATCAGGCTCCAGATCAGACCAAGGACATAGAGCTCCTGGCTTCTCAGGGTCTGGGTCTTAGAGAAGAACATGTTCTTCTTTGCCCTAGAGCTTACCCTGGCTCCCCAGCTGCCCCTCTGGCTTGGAACCAGGGCTCCCATTCTGGATCTTAGTGTAGAGAGTACATTGAGGGATGTCTGCTCCAGCCACAAGCAACAGCCAGGGGATGCTTGGTGCCAGCACAGCATCCCAACTCACAGCAGTGTTCCTCACATGGAACTGGGAACCTTGGGGAGTCCTACTATGGGGCTTGGTGCTACAGAATCCCAATCTCCAACCAGAGCTCCTCTGCAACAATCTGCTTTATTCAGTGGGCCTTGGCCTAAAATATTTATCTGAAGAAAGCTCTGCTGCTTAAATACACAGAAACAGGTGACTATTCTAGAGAAATCAGCAATTACTTTTTTCTTTTGGAGTGTTGGAGTTTTTATATCAGTCCCAGGGCTTGAACTGAGGGCAGGGTGCTGTCCCTGAGCTTTTCTGCTCAAGGCTAGCACTCTACCACTTAAGCCACAGCTCCACTTCCAGCTGTTTTGGTGTTGAATTGGAGATGAGAGTCTCAGGCTTTCTTGCCTGGCCTGGCATTGAATCACAATCCTCAGACCTCAGCCTTTTGAGTAGTTGAAATTACAGGCATGAGGGCTGGGAAGGTGGCTCAGTGGTACAGTGCTTGCCTTGCATGCATGAGGCCCTGGGTTCGATTCCTCAGCACCACATAAGCAGAAAAAGCTGGAAGTGGCACTGTGGCTCCAGTGAGTGGTAGAGCGCTAGCCTTGAGCTGAAGAGCTGAGGGACAACACCCAGACCCAGAGTTCAGGCCCCATGACCAGCAAAAAAAAAAAAAATACAGGCGCAAGGGGCTGGGAAATTGGCTCAGTGGTAGAGTGCTTGCTTCGCATGCATGAGACCCTGGGTTTGATTCCTCAGCACTACATAAGCAGAAAAAGCTGGAAGTGGCGCTGTGGCTCAAGTGGTAGGGTGCTAGCCTTGAGCTGAAGAGCTGAGGGACAGCGCCCAGGCCCAGAGTTCAGACCTCACAACTGACAAAAAAAATAAAATAAAATAAAATAATAAATAACAGGCATGAGCCACTGGTGCCCAGTATGCATGATTGATGTTCTTTTCTTTTCTCTTCTCTTCACTTCTTTTTTTTGGGGGGGGCGGGGGGGGGGGAGGTTTGGTCATGGGACCTGAACTCTGGGCCTGGGCGCTGTCCCTCAGCTCTTCAGCTCAAGGCTAGCACTCTACCACTTGAGCCACAGCGCCACTCCGGCTTTTTTCTTTTTGCTTATGTGGTGCTGAGGAATTGAACCCAGGGCCTCATGCATGCAAGGCAAGCGCTCTACCACTGAGCCACCTTCCCAGCCCCTTCCCAGCCCCTTCTCTTCACTTCTTTTCTCTCCCTCTCGCCCTTCCTTCCTTTCTCTTTCCTTATTTAGGGCTGATACTAGGGCTTGAACTCAGGGCCTAGGAACTGTCCTTTAGGTGTTTCACTCCACTTTCAGCTAAAGTATTTGAGGCTCTGCAGACCATCCAGTCCATTGTAACTATTCATTTCTACCATGGCAGTGTGCAAGCAGCTGAAAGCAACAATGAACAAGTGAGTAGGTAGGGGCTGTGCTACAACAGAATTACATGTACAAAAGGGGCTCACTCTGTTAACTCCTGCCCTAGAGATACTGGCCAGGTCTAAGACACCAATCTGAGTATTCTTGACCATTCTTTACCATAGGATTCCCATCTTGGGATACCTATAACCAACTCAATGGCCTACAATCCTATTCTCAGAGCCAAGGTAAAAAAAAGGGAACCCGGGGCTGGGAAGGTGGCTCAGTGGTAAAGTGCTTGCCTTGCAAGCATGAGGCCCTGGGTTTGATTCTTCACCATCACATAAGCAGAAAAAGCCAGAAGTGTGCTGTGGCTCAAGTGGTAGAGCACTAGCCTTGAGCTGAAGAGCTGAGGGACAGCGCCCAGGCCCACAGTTCAGACACCCATGGTCAACAACAACAAAAAGGGAATCCTGCATTGTGCATCTCTGGAGGAAACCATGGGATAAGAGCGGCACATGGATAGTAGCTCAGTTTAAGTCAGAAAAGATGTATGCTACCAGGTCTGTATGGGGCCACCTAAGTTGAATGGGCCCTTGGAGACTAGAAGGGCCAAGGATGGGATGGAGATGACTCTCTAGCTCTATCATTCCAGGAGTCTCTGAATCAAGGTTGGAACTTTCTTGAAGATGGTAGAGGTGGGCATATTTGCTAAAGCCATTCTAGCTTTGTCCTGGGAGAAGCCTGACCCAAAGAAGTCCAGCCTTCCCCTCTGGAGTCCCCTCTGTGAAGACCCTTCCCAGACAGTCCATTGTAGAGCACAAGGAGGTGGACTCTAGTGTCCATATGACCTCCATCTAAGCTGGGCAGAGCCACAACAGAGATGACAGAGGACTCTACCCCCAGTTTCCACCACCAATGGCTGCTGAGCATCCCTGCATCTTTCTAGTCCCACACTGTGGTCCCAAGATTCCACAGTAAATGCGAAAGTTCAGCCTAGCATCCTAGCTGTGCCAAGAAGGAAGAGAAGAAAGAAGAATCTGGACTATCACAGGGCTGCTCTCTCAGGCTCCCCTGCTCTGCCCCTCAGCATAGCTCCTTGCCGCTCCTCAAGACCCCTCTATCCTTATCCTTCCCCTTAACATGCACCATAGTCAGTTCCCGTCACCCGCACATACATCCTAGAATACCACCAGTGGCTCAACTAGCTTTAACTAGCCCAGAACAAGTATCAGCCCCCATGACCCTGAACTCCCACTGACCAACCCCAACACCCTTTGTGGGGGCAATCTAAAAACTGCTTGCAATGGGATAGCAAAGATGGGAGGGCATTGGGGCCTATGACAAGTTAGCTTTCTATTGTATTGTGTTTTAATTTGAGACAGGGTCTCTGCAGTCCTGGCTGGCCTGAAAGTTACTATCTAGCCCAGGCTGTCCTCAAATGCATGAGCGGCCTACCTTAGCCTCCTGAGTGCTGTGATTACAGGCATGCACCACCATGCCCAGCTCCACCAAGTTGGATTCTCTGGCCCCCATCTAGACTGTACCCCTCTGCTCCTGCAGCCGTCCTCCTCCTCACTCCCGCTTGCTGGTCTGCCTCTCACCACCCTCGGTCACAAGCAGTTGCTGAAATGGAATCTCAGCTTATGGTCAGCACAATCGCCACCAAGCTAGAAGAAAACCTCTCATTGTTCTCATCATCCTCAAAAAGCCACTCCTGAAGTCTTCCTGCACTTACCACAATGTAAATAATTACAATTCCGTGCTTCTATTGAACGCTGGCTTCGTTATAAGACTAAAACTTCATGAGGGCAGGAACTAGATCTGCCTTTTTCTTTTCTTTTTTGGGTCCGGTCATGAGGCCTGAACTCTGGGCCTGGACGCTGTCCCTCAGCTCTTCAGCTCAAGGCTAGCGCTCTACCACTTGAGCCACAGCGCCACTTCCGGCTTTTTTCTTTTTGCTTATATGGTGCTGAGGAATCAAACCCAGGGCCTCTGGCATGCAAGGCAAGTGCTCTACCACTGAGCCACCTTCCCAGCCCCTAGATCTGCCTTTTTCATATGCTATAGCCAATAAAAAGGAGCTCAGGAAATATGAGAAGAAAAGATTATTTCGTTGTTATGATCATGTGATAAGTCCTTCTTGCAGTCTAACTTCTGTCAGTCTTATTGCAGTACAGCTCTTCTCACTTTAATCATCCGTGCAACTAGAACTTTTCTCTACCATCTGTTCTTAAACCTTATCATTTTGGATATCAACCACCCTCCAAACCACCTCTGCCACCCTCAGGTTGGTTAGTAGTCTGCAACCTTCCCTATCTTCAGGTTGGCTGGTACAGAGGGTGAGCCTCTAAAGTCTTCTAAGGAGCAGCCCTAAGCACATGGAGATAGAGAGGATGGGGTTGCTTAGGCAACTGTTTCCTGGCAACCAGCTCCCTGGCTGATCTCCTACACCCCCCCCCACACACCCCCGCCTCATGCTGGGGGAGCTGGGATGTGAGAGGGATCAGGGCTGAAAAGGCAGAGAAGCCATAGAGATCCACTGAGTATCTTCTGAAAGACAGAAGTCAGACCAGGCCCCCTCTATCCCTCCTCTCTCCAAGGTAGCTCAGAACACTTCTGCTAATTCTATGCCTCCTAGGTCCCTTTCCCTACTCTACTCCCTCGGTTGTCAACATTTCCAGAGGTGGGAGGAGATGTTCCTGCCTTGGGCAGTCCTTCCTCCTATCTAACCACAAGCTCTCCAATAAAGCAAGCTCAGTCTGTACTAGCCTTTTTCCTCTTCTGTTATCCATTCCACATTGCCCTTGGGCAAGAACATGAACTCAACTGTGACACTGGAAGAAGGATGGCTAGGGCCAAGACAGGCACAAAGGACCCTAAACTGACCCTACTGGAAGGTGTGGAGGCCTATGCTTTCCAAGCTTCCTTATCCCATTAGGAGATTTTAATGAACACCTGGCCCTCCTTAATTAGCCCTCTGCCTAATTACCTAACCAACTGCCAGGAGCCAGAGGCCTGGGCATCTGTTCTCCAGATGTGGACTCTGCTCTCCAGCCTGGCCTGGTCCTGCTCCATCTCTCCTCTCCTGCCTGTTCTTCCTCTAAGAAGCCCACTCCAATGCCCTGGCCAGTAGCTGCTTCTTCCCTAAACCTTGGGCTTGGCTCTACCTGCCAGGGGCTTAGGAGAAC